CAGGATGACAGACAGCAGCAACAGCCCAGCAAACACGGCAACGAGTGAATAGAGAGCGGCATCTGGAAGCCCTGAACAAAGAAAAACAATAAACTCAGCACAACGCTACGCTGCTTCCTTAAAACATTGACTGCTGTTCACAGGAAGTAGAAATCAATTGTTTTCATTTAGTATTATAAGTTCTATTACTAAGTGGAAATCCATTGCAGAACAGTCTAAAATACAGTATTTGTCCAGAATTGTACAATGCTGGGGGTTGAGTTGATGCAAAGCAGTGGAAATGAAAAGCCTTTGTTAGCACAACTGTTTCGAGACTTTGAGCGATAATCTCGTTACACATGGCCACGTCGTCTTCGCTTTCCCCCCTCTTTCTATTGATGTCACTGGAAATCTTAAAATTCACAAATTTCACAACCTGTAAAATACGCTAAATCGGCCCCTGGAGGGGCCTCCTGCTTTTGTCGTGACAAGATATCGATTCTGATTCATATCTCAGGTGAGAGTTTAAATGTAGATCGACCAATAGTTCAACAAACCAGAGCAGAACCTGCGTTACTGCAGACAAAGCTTCAATCTGTCCATCCATCTCTTTCGCCATCTTCATAAAGATGGCGAAAGAGATGGTATTTAAAAACAGCTTGACCCTGTGTGGATTAGGAAAAAAAAAACCCTCTGCTCTCAATTTTTGTACCATAAACCAATGAAACAAATGTGTGTTGTGTAATCATTGCTGCCAGGAAAAGGCATGACTGAGATATTGACTCACAATGGCTGAAAATGAGCATCAGAGGAGAGTGTAGACATATCACTCTGATTGATAAACATAATAAGTGTTTTCAATATCAAACTGTAAACCCAAACCACAGAACAAGCGTCAAACCAACCATTGTCAAACTAAAACCCAAATCGAAAACATTAGGCGGTTTTAGTTGGAACATTTATAGAGCAACAGAATGAGCTACGACCCTGAAGAATACCTGAAGAAGACCTGCACTAAAACACAAACTCGCTGTACCTTCAATGAGTTCCTTAGAGACCAGCGTTGCAGTTGTTAGGCTAGTTTTCACTGTGCTGCTCTGGTGCTGAGAGACTGTCAAAGAAACACACAAATTCTCACTAAAGGTTTGGATTTGTTTTGTTCAGAGTCAAGCATCTCAGTGAAATCAACGCACCAAATATTTTACTCATTTATGGAGCGAACTGAATATTCCTCCAAAGGAAACAAGATGGTTCTGCACGACTGAGAGTCGCATGGAACAGTGGAAATAAATGAAGTCGAATTCTGCAGCGAAATGGCTCAGCGGCTCTGAGCCATTTTGCGCTCGGTTTCATTTGTGGTTTTGGGTTTCTGTTATTTTTGACTTTCTCACCCGCTGTGACGTCCTGTGTTGCCGAAGCCTGAAGCGTTTTTTTTGGGGCCGCGTTCTGTTCTTCTTCTACTGTCAAAGAAACAATGGACTGTAAAAGCGATCGCAAGGCTTGTCCGACTCACAATTTCATTTTCATTGCGATGTTCAGGATGGAACTTGGATGGATTTGGTGCAAAGCAGAAAAAAAACTTATGTGAAACAATTTTTCCCCATCATTATTTTCTAGATTGTCTTATTTCAAATATCGGAATGGGTATTCCGATATTTGGAATATATCGGAATATACCAAAAAAAAGAAACATTAAAAAAAAAAAACATTTGTTATTGTTCCCTTCTGCTTAATTTTTATCCATCAACATGCACAGTAAGTAACTTTAGAAGCTTTGCACATTTTCTGGATATTTATTTTTAAATAAAAGATATAAATACATTTGTTCTGCTAGATGTATTTGCTTAAATTGTCCTGTACGTGTCCTGTGTGCCCCTCACCTACAGACAGCTGAAACTGGGTATAATTTCCGACGTTCCACCCCGGCTCTGAACGGCACCAGTACGTTCCGGTATCTCCTGCTTCCAGCTGTGTGATTTTGACGGAGAAAGACCCAGAGAAGTCACTGTGCAGTAAGAATCTGCTTTGACCCTTCATCATGTCTGTGCACTTGCTGCGTTGACTTCCTTTGCAGAGGAACTTCCTGTTGTTTCGGTGAGTCGGCGGATAAGGGCACTGCAAGGTTACTTCATGTCCTGCAGTTTCTCTAATTATCTTTGACTCCACACAGCACCATTCTGGACAGCACACAAAATAAAATCATTAAAGGGCCTGTGAACACTGTTTTGTATGGAATTTTTTCTCAGTCTGTTCATTTGAAAAGTGTTTGACTTTTATGCATTAGAAGTACATAAGTTTGATCTCTCACCCTCGACTTGCAGTTCAGCAGCAGTGAAAACATCAAATCCTGAGTTTCTCTGGACTCCACAAAGATACGACCCAGAATCCTTCAGGGTCAGACTGGAAATGGTCACGGTGAATATTCTTGACTTCCTGTCATCAGAGTCTGAATCGTCCATTTTGTGTGTTGCTAGAGTTGATCACTGCCTGCTGTCGACATGTGGAGGGCCGGTTTCCTCTGCAGAAGAACTTCAGCTTGTCGACAGACTGGGAGTCGTACGGACAGCTGATGGTCACTGAACCGTCTTCGTTACCTTGGATGTTGTTCACTGTGCTGCAGCATCTGTCTGTAAAAACATATGATGTCGCATGTTGCAGTTAAACAGCGGCTTCATAAAAAGCACACAGCGTGAACTCGGTCAACAGCTAAGGCTTGGGTTTCTGTTGGGTTTCTCACTTTATTATCGCTCGCCGCAGTCAGAAAAAGTGTCTATTCATTCTCTTTATGCTTTTTAAAACTGCCAATCAAAGATAAATATTAAAAGTGACGCTGAATTTTGAGGGCCCCGTAGCGGGGGACGGGTGAAGCACAACTCATGTCAGGAGGCCTTAGTCCTCGACTCAAACGTCACAGGTTCGTGTCCCCATCTGTCATTCCCCTCTGACCCATCAAACCGCTCTCAAAGTAAAAAAAAAGGAAATAGTTCATTTGAGCACCACCCTCCTTGACTCCCTACTCGATCTGATTCATGCCACACCCCACTGAGACGAAGCACAGAGATGTCTTCGTTTGGGCGGACACAACTAAAGATAAGTTTTTTAATGAAGTATTTTAATATTACTGCATCTCTCTCGCTCCTCATGGATATAAATATAATCCAGCAGAAATCCTCCCACTGTCTTGCAGGTGTTGCATGCAGGGGACTCAGACCTGCGACCAATCTGGAGTAGTTTCACTACTCCAGATTGGTCTCCACCATAAGCAGAAATAGGATGATTTCACTACACAACCAGCACAGGACAATAATGTTGTGGATGTTGCTTCGTGAGCTATTAGATTAGCACACACAGGCAACAAGCAGAGAACTTCACGGCTTTGGGCTTTTGCGCCCACTGTTGTTTGCTCGTGTGAGTTGCATCAAGGCCTTGAAAACACATCCATATCGTTCACATGTTTCACTGATTAGTTGGCCTCTAAGTGCAGCTGGTAGAGCTGAATTTTGTTCAGGTCCGGCAAAGTAAGAGGAGCTTGAATAGCGAACATTTCTGATTTTGGTTTCCTTCCACTATACATCCAGGTGATGTTTATCGATGCTCTATAACTTCAAATTGCGATAAGATTTGGAAAACCTTTGGAAATACTTTCCAGGGCATTGTCGTCCAAAGCTGCTTATTTGTAGTTCATTATTTGTGGGAGAGTATTTTTTATTGTCAAAAGAAAAACATCATTTTTTTTCTTATTTTTTCTACTAGTTGATCTTAAAAACAATGAGTTCATAAAGATCAATGAAGTTTTCAGTTCTGTATGAAATGAAGCTACTCCCTTCTGTGTGCATGTTTCTGTTCTGTGTTTGCATGTCACTTATATCCCAATGCTTGGTTTGAAATGTCGAAGGTAGCAGCACTGCAAAGGTTTTTGCAAACTAATCATTAGACATGGAGAAAATCCTGTCATTGTGCTAATTTTACTCGACCCGATCTGAGTATCGCAAACACTTAGAGCTTTGCCCCTTCACACAGACACAAATCCTGTTTGAAAACTAAGGAGCAACTTAAATGGTACAAAAATAATAACATAAAAAATAACATACCTTGTTTTGCTTCCAGTTTTACCTCTGTGTAGATATCTTTTCCATTCCTTGTCACTCCACACCAATATTTCCCAGCGTCGGTGGACTGAAGGTTAGAAATTGTTGTTGTGAAGATTCTTGTCCTTTTGTCATCATAGATGGAGTGTCTGGGTTTATTTGCTTGTGACGTTGTAATAAGGACGTCACTGTCCGCGCAGTCGTTCCTACACAGGTACTTTTCGTAAGACTCATAACCCTGAGGATATGAGCAGGAAATCTTCAAATCTTGACCTTCATATCCAAACACAAGGACCAAACCTGCAGCGCTGCGCACACAGCTCAGAGCTGCTGCAGAAAGAAGGCGACATGAGAAAACATCTTGAAATCAAAAGTCAAATAACAGCATCAGGAGTTGTCATTCTTTGGCATGTTGTCATGTCCTCCCTCCTGACATAGATATAAGATATAAGTTGTTATATAAAATAATAGAAAGAAAACTTACAACACAGAGTGAAGAACAGGTTCTGAAAGCTCCACATTTTTGATCTCTTTCAACGAAAAAGAAACTTAACAGGAAGTGGACCCAAAATAAAACTAACACCCACTCTGAAACCAGGCTGGTGCATCATTCTCACTTCTTCATTATTCAGATGGCTAATTTTGATTCGTTGGGCATTATCAGATGATAAGTCTTTAATATTCTCTCCCTTAATGTTCTCTCTACAAAGACAACTAAAGTGTTGTCTCATCTATTCAGATCTTTATAATAAATTTATGGTACAAATATATAAACTCTGAATTTTTTATGATTTTACTTTTTAATTCAGTATGTGTGCTGTTTGAGGTTATTTAAGGTTAAAACAAACCAACAAACAAACAAAAAGTAATAAACCTCTCATTTCACTTTAATTTTCTACTGCTCTTAATTTTCCAACCACTAAGGGGCGCTCCAATGCCTCCTGTACTGCAGCAAGGCGAAGCTGGTATGTGGTTTTTAACATCCATTACCTCCTCATCCTTATTTTGTCTTTATTTTGATCATGTAAAATCGTGCCTAGTTGAATTGAAAGGGTTTCTGTAATAAAACCATAAAACAGTGACGTGAGTCTCATTTATTTTAAGGATTCGTTGGCAGGTGATGTTTTCTTTCTTTCTTTCTTTCTTTCTCTTTCTTTTCTTTCTTTTTCTTTCTTTTTTTTTTCTTTTTTTTTCTTTCTTTCTTTCTTCTTTCTTTCTTTCTTTCTTTCTTTCTTTCTTTCTTTCTTTCTTTCTTTCTTTCTTTCTTTCTTTCTTTCTCTCATTCTTTCATTCTGCTTGTGCACATTGTTTCCTTCCATTCAACTTTCCATTAATATAATTGAATGCAGTTGTGACAATTGAATGACGAGCTATTAAGTGGTCACAAAATTTCCGTATTGATGGATGTTTTTGGCTTTCTGAATAACATTTTCTGAAATGAACGGTTTCAACTGACTGCCACGTGAACATTAAAAATCAGTCTGTGTGAAGTGAGTCTTTATGAATTATTTTCACTTATAGAAATTGTTTTTGATAAAATCATTGATAAAATCATTTAGGCCTATTGAAACGCACCTGTACCATAATGAGCGATTCCTCATACTGAGCCATTAGTTTCTTGCGAAGTTAATAACAAATGTCTCACAGCCTTAAGGACGCTTCAGTTGACTGAATGAAGCAGGAATAACTAATACAGTCTTTTTTATAATTTTGTTGTAGATTTGCTGCTAGGTTTGCAATAATTGCACTGCTGCGCGACTCAACTTTGAGCAAGCTCCAGCTGTCGGGCACAGACACCAAAATACATCGGTGCAGAGAGGTGTTAACAGGCTCCTCGGTGACTGGCAGGTGTCCACGTCCTTGCTCCAAAACAAGTGCAAATCGTGAGGCCTCCACGCCACCAGACCTGCCAGCTGGTGCAGAGTTTTCCTACACGTTGTGTGTGGAGCGTGTGAGATGGAAAGTGCATCTCTCAGGTTCTGCAAACGCGCATGCTATATTTGTTTCCATGTTTCTGAAAGAGATGGCTGTCGCGTCAGTTCCTGGACTTTGCAGCGGGTAGATGCTGCCACCTGCAGCTGCCACTTGCAAATTGTTTTCTACTTTATGGAACATTTGTGTCATTCTGTGGCTCCATATGTTAAGACTTGGCTAAAGGCCCTCTGGGAGGCACCGAGTTAGGAAACAAAATACTATTTTCTGTCTTTAAGGGTGACGTCATCCTTAAATGTGTTAGATTCAACAAAAGAAAAGAAAGCTATGAAGAAATCCACGATTAAAAGATGAATTTGAATATTAGAAGTGTATAACTGGTTCATCTTGGATGTATATACATATTTGAATGATTGATGGGCGAGATTCGTGTGTTAGAGAAACGAGCATGTTCTAAATGTGATTATGAGGATGAACTGGGTTAACCATCAATTATGTGCTCAAACTGATCATTTGTTAGAAATGAGACAAAAAAAAATCAAAAATCAAAATAAGAGTCAATTCAAAACAAAAAACATGTGGTAAAGTTCTCCTATTTTAAATCATTTGGTGCATCTCAAATGCATTGATGTATTTATTGGGCCAAGTCCACTTTTCTGCTTTTATTTATAATTATGTCAGTTTCGGTTCTCCATATAAATTATCTACATTTTTACAGTCTATTCAGAGAAGCATGGGAACTTTAAGAAATACATTTGTCTCCTTATATCATCTCCTCTTTCACCCCTTTTTTAGAACCACACACACACACACACACACCCACACACACACACACACACACAAACACACACAGCCTAAAATGTTATTCCTCCATGTTCAACAACTGACCCCACCCCTGGCCAGCGCATTGCAAAATGTCAGCGCCGTGACCGAGTGTGTGTGGGCGGAAGCGTGTGTGTGTTTGTGTGTGTGTGTGTGTGTGTGCGTGCGTGTGTGTGTGTGTGTGTGTGTGTGTGTTGTGTGTGTGTGTGTGTGTGTGTGTGTGTGTGTGTGTGCGTATGTGTGTTTTCCCCGAGCTCAGCCATTCCCGTCGTGTCCAGCTGACCGCTCAGCTGTGCCTCTCGCATACTGCGGCACAAACTGTGTTCATATCTCACACACTCTCTCTCGGAAAAGGCTGACATTAAGACCGCCGTGCGGAGGGATAAGCGTGTCCCGAATTAGCGGGGGGTGGCAGGCCGAGCTGGGCTGTTTCCAGGGCCGGTTGTAGTGGATGTTGCTGCTGGGGGCGGGGTTCGGGAGTCCGAGGGGGGGGGACGGGTTGGGTTTCTGTAGAGTGCGCGGTTTGGAGCTGAGCAGCGCGTAAGACGCGTGTTGAGGTCTTCTCGGACTGCAACCCAACATAAACACACGCCTTACACGGACGGCCCTCTCAGTTTTATGACATCTATCTTAGACCTTTATACCATGTCTGGATGTCTCCGTCCTGTTCCCTCTTCAG